AGGATGGCGCCGACTAGACAGTAAAACAGATCACTGATTTTGGTGGACAAGCCCACAGCTATCGATGCGATGTGACTAAGAAAGACGAAGTCTACCGCCTTGCCCAACAAGTCGATATATGTGCTGTGTATATTTCAAGAATCACTTGTTAAATGTCGATGAAATGTGACACATGCACGCTAATAATATTTGTTTGGTTCCGCATGGTGTGGTGTTCATCTAATCTCATTTCTCAGACGAGCCTTGATGATTTTTTATGAATTTTGCGGCCACATGTCTTAAACTCATCCTTAAACTCAACAGTAGCATACATGTCTTCTGAAATTTTAATTGCAAGGCATGGAATATTGCATTATGAATAACTGAACTAGCATTGTATAATGCATTACGTTCATTACCCGAAACCACCTTACTAGTACTCGTTCATGCATAGTTGCTGAGGTTAAGAATGGAAAAAAATAGTTTTGATTTTTTTACTGGCATACTTTACATACTATACCATAATGTAACATTGTTATAGTGTATGTTAAGGCAATCGCAGGGCTATGAAATTCTGTGTTTTTTGTTTACTAAATACGTGAGCAGGATTGTCTTTTTAAATACCTTTCCCAGGTAAAATTGTAGTGGATTTTATTTCTGAATGTGAATGGTCAGACAAAATATTTGTCAAAATGAATCGGTAGTTCCGTCATTAATGCCTAATAAAAGGGTTTTTTTTGGCGTGCTGCACAATATGCAACTAAATACAAGTAATTTCCACTTACATGTGGGTGACAGTGCGTTTAGGATCTTTAGTTGTTATTCTGCAATGAACAACTATACAGTAAAATAAATGAAGGCAGTATATATGATTCTTACCGCTGAAGACATATTGTCGCAAGGAATGTTCATAACAATGACGACATATACGTAACAAATACTACAACTGCAAAATAACAGCCTAACACTACGATAATGACTTTTCGTTTTCGACATTTTGAAATTCTTTCGTTTTCGGGGAGAAAAAAACTCTGAAACAACTGATTTTGACAATATAATTCATAAATTTATATTAAGAATAGTTCACAACGAAATGTATTTCCTATGCACCCATAATTAATTTTTATAATTACCGATTAATCAAGAATATGACAGAAAACTAGACAATTTGCTATCTTCTCTATATTTTTTGCCTTTTATTTGTTTTGAATTATGACTGAAAGAAAGTTAATAAAATTACAAAATATGTAGTTCAATAACTCATGTCTGAACAATAACTTTAGTAAATATGATTTTGTTTGGTAAAAGTACTGTATTTTTCTGCCAAAAAAAACACGACTAAATTTCACAATGTCGAAAAACAGAAAGACGTTAACGCAGTGTTTACTGTTATATAAGTTATTGGTGTTTGCCTTGATTTGAGGTATGATATAGTGCAGTACATGTGACTGAACGTGAATGGTATCGAACTTGTGGCATGTAACCGTCATCAAGACATGATACTTGTACAGTCCTTTGCTATGCTGCAGTCAATCTTTTTTGACATACTGGTCTCCTCCTCCTAGGGCGGTATGTGACAAGTATGCCATATTTAAGATGGGGTTTCACCATTCAAATCATCCTAGAGAGCGAAGCAGTAGTCTCATTGAGTGTGTGCATATGAATCATGATAATTATGCAGTTTTAATATCAGGCCATGTCTTGGTTCTTGTCAATAACCAATGCAAAAAACAAACATTGGTAGTACTTGGAACATTACTGCCTAGCTATTGAAGCGAGTTTTGTAATGTTGTTGCCTAACTAATGCATCCATATTAGATATATTAATATTTAATGTAGTTTTGTCTTCATGGTATATAATCCCGTCGATATCATCTAGCTCCATGATACAAAGTATGTCTTTGTGCACATAGCGTATATAGTCATCATCGTATATAATCCAGTCATAGTGGTAGACGATTTTGTAATTTCAGGCGAGGGTATACGATATCGCACGTGCACAATTCAAAGACATACGTATCCGTTTCGTAGAATTGTGTCTTAAAAAAAACATCGTAATCGTAAACTATGAACGCGTCAAAAGATTTTAAGCACCTACTGTATTTCAATATTGGATCTTTGTTCCTCGAATACAGTTCACCGCCCATTTATAGCCACCGACAAACATAACAATTTGCTAACTCTGGAATAATCCTATCGTCGGATATTTAGTTATTTGTCCAGTAGTTTGTCTGTCCAGTTAGGACAAGGTTAATTTAAAGCCACATCGTTCTCATTTCCTTGGCTGTTATGTACTTCGATTACAAAATTAGGAACATTTAATTATATTGGTCGAGTCTTGTCCCAATAGTATTTAAGTGTCACTGATGTCTTAATTATAACAATAAGTTGTTGGTTGAAAGTGATTTACAGGGGAAATCATAAATCCGGAAGACAATTAATAATTTCAGTGTGATACTGTGCATAAGCAATTATTTCCACGCATCTAATCTTGGTAAACAAATGTTGCCATGGACACTACAAGAGTCGGTCTTCCCAATTTGGTTTTAGCATACTTACCCTGAAAAGGGGTTTCCTTTTGGTTGTCAGCCCAGTATAGGAGTTATCACAAGAATTGCGATAATTGTTTTATGACACATGTCATCAGTAATTAACATGCAAAAAACTAGTAACGATAAATATTACTTGCGACGGATAGTTCATATCAGGTCGGCAGCGATGGACAATAAAAAATAACATGAAAAAAAATATCGTGGCATTGTTAGAGGGCGTTAGTTTCATCAAAGACGTTATCATTGTAGTGTATTCTTATTGTTTTGAATGACAGGTGACCAACGCTATGAATAGAGCTATGCTGTTCGAATAACGTGCATGCTAATCTTATATTAGTTAAAATGCTGCTAAGAGTATGGTTGTGAAATATATATATATATTGACAGTATAACATGCGATCCGACCCTTTTAGACAACAAATACCAGTATATTGTTCAAAATTGAATGCCGTTGCTCGAATATTGTAATTTTTGTAAATTGTACATTTTTTTTCAATTGAGTGTCATTTCCAATGCAACTTGCATATTGTTCTTGTTGTTATTTGTAAAGCCTTATTTTAATAACAACATAATGGTATAGAACAACCATTTTTCACTTAATTTTCCATTCCTGCTTCAGTACTATGTACTGATCTTCAACTAACAGGGTTTTAAGTGTTAGGGCCTTGTGTCTGAAAGTTAAATACTCCCCTTTTGATAATTAAAACATATATGTGATATGTGTATATCTTCGGGAGCAAAGGCTTTACCATTCTGATAGAATTGGAGCACTATGTGATTGCAAGTTCATGCCTAAATTATGTTTATCTCATGACCAAATTTGTCATTCTCTATCCACTGATTAATGGTTTATAAAATTTCACCAAGTTATTGATCGGTAACGCATTATAATGTGCATGGCCTTAGCTAATTCACTCTACAAAAACTTCAGAACGTATTTAGAACGAGGACGTTATTCGATCCTGTAATACGCTAATAGCTAACTCCTTATCGAAGAAAAGTGCAGAAATATCAGTCGTCTAAGGTCAGCTGAAGGTCAGCTCTTGGTTTATGATCGTTAAGTATTTATGTACAGTATATTCTAACTGGTATTCACACATTTACAAAAGCCAACGAGCAATTTTTCAATCCATCGAGTTATAATTAATATGTGTGTTATTTCGGTATATCTGTGTTTGTTTCGTCTATCCGATCACAAACTGCTACATTACGTATTGATGACTGCAGTATATTCACTGCAATTGTGTTTATATGTAATCTGCTTTAGTGCAAGCTATGAAATATTTGCCAGACAAGACATACCAGAAATTACATCTGTTGATGGTTTACCATTCAACATGGAACAGTAAACAAAGACTTAAAAGCAGCAGATGCAGAAACAATATAAGACGTGTTGTATAATACAAGACGCGCACGGTCATACAACGCGTGTTGATGAAAGAATCGAAGATAAACAAAATGTATAAATCGGTGAACCATACAATGCTGGTAGAAAAAAAAATAAAAATAGCATCACATGGAATAGCTCATTATCATTTATATATTAAATACAATCCTATTGTTTTAAATAAAGAAGTTTTACGCATGATTTTAAGGATTATTCACGCTATGCTACACGTTGTCTCTACTGAAAATATCCATACACATACGATAAAAAAAACATCGCCGTCAGATACTCACACAAATAACATTGATATTGAATAATTATTCTTGTGAAAGTAGAAATTGTGCTAACAAATCTTATAAATTCAATAATTAGGAATTTAATGAAATCGTCACTTACGAGGATTCAATATTTTGTCTTAATATCATTTATGTCGTGTTAACTCACTCATCTATTTACCTGTTTTATTTGAAATTACCGTTTAATTTAACTAATCATTATTGCGTATCGATGGATAGCCGCAAGTATTTTATATTTCGATCGTAAGCTAATCAATGTATTTAATGCACTCAACACTATATTATACTCGCTTCATACACATCAGCAACTAATATCCCAGACATATTACGTCAACTTGTTTTAGCTGCTATGACCTAATTAAAACATAGTTGAACTCTGGTGACCTTGCCCTTTGTTATATAATATAATTCCCTTTAACATATTCTGTTTCAATATAAATGTGCATTGTCATAATTAATTTTGAGTACAAACAAGTTTTGGGGTTGAACCAACAGTGGGGAATCAGTCTACCGAATGTCCTTTAAAGATGTAAATATCTTACAAAAACATTGGTGCCTTATTTGTTTAATTATTTTAAGGGACATAATTTCCAGCTTTATTCAAAATAATTCAGATATTTTAGTATAAAAACAAATGCCTCATTGCAAAAAAAAATGCTGCATTTAGACGTGAATAGATTCATAAAACATGCAAGATAACAGAAAATCTTAGCTGGCTTTTATCCAAGTATTTTGTACAGGTGTCTGTCAAAAAATAATGATTCACTGAGACAAATATGAACTGCCTCATTGTGTGACTACTACTGTATTATATGAAAAGTAAAAAAACACCCTTTATGAATAGCTATCATGTTGCAAGCTCTGCTTTGTATGCAAATCAACTTAAATAGTTAGTTGGTGTCCAGTGGAGGGAGAAGTCAACAGTACTGTTGCCTCCTGAAAATCTACATCTTCAAACACTGCAATCTTTGAAGTGCGTTTTTAAACCAGTATTATAAAAACTCCTGTGAGTTTTCATTTGTCGAATGAACTGTTTGTCAAATACAGAATACATATATTTTAGAACAATTTTCTTTTTAAAATGTGGATGAAATGCTTTGATTTTTATGTATTTTTTATGTATTGTTTTTGATTTGATAACTTTGAACTAAACAGATTTTCTATTAGCTTCAGATCTTGATCAAAGTTTGGCACCCAGTTCATAGGAGTGCTTATATTGATTTTCTGACATCTTGTTTTCTATAAAGATTTTATTGGTAGGTTTGCAAATGTGTATCAGACTGTGCAATCTCTCCATGAGTTGGTTTTGAAACCCAGTATGGGATTCTGAGATACATTACCAGGGATATTATTACAAGATAAATCATTTGCTTCATTGAACGCATACAACAATGCATATTTCCACTGAGATCAGTGACCTTTGATGTGTATCACCAGTGATCAGTCAAGTAGAAACAGTCAAAATATTTTATCAGATTTTCTCAATTTTTGCATGATATTTTCATACAGGACATATGTTGTTCAAACTCAGGGAAGACTTTATACTGATGAATAAGGTGACCAAGTTTGATGAAGTTTGGAATAGAATTAGTAAAGTTATTATGCACACAATAACAATTATTAACGACGGCGACGACGACGACAACAACAACAACAACAACGACAACGCCGGACAAAATTTTTCCCTTAATATACCTTTCCCTTCCATCTTTGATGGTACGGGCAAGGTAAACAAAAGTGATATCATCGCCACTAAATCCCAAGCCTATGTTATATATCACATAGCACATCAATTTATGCTAAGTTACGTGCATACCACCGACCAGTATCCCGGTCATGGTACACGAACACACTTAAACGTTGATGGCGTACATTGTGCCAGTTATATATATTCCTTGCGACAATATGTCATCAGCGGTAGAAATCCTTCTTACTGCCTTCATTTCTTTTACTGTATAGTTGTTCATTGAACAATGACCAAGACGCACGTGTAAGTTGAAATTACTAGTATTTAGTTGCATATTGTGCAGTACGCCAAAAAAGGCCTTCTTTTATTAGGCATTAATGACGGAACTACCAATTCATTTCGACAAATATTTTGCCTGATCATTCACTCAGAAGTTACATACACTACAATTTAACCTGGGAAAGGTATTTAAAAAGACAATTCTGATCACGTAAACAAAAAACACAGAATTCCAGAGCCCTATGGATGTCTCAACGCACATACACTATAACAAAGTTACATTATGGTATACTATGTAAAGTATGCCAGTAAAAAACTCAAAACTATTTTTTTCCATTCTTAACCTCAGCAACTATGCATGAACGAGTATTGGTAAGGTGGTTTCAGATAATGAACGTAATGCTTTATACAATGCTAGTTTAGTTATTCATACTGCACTATTTCAAGCCTGTCAAAGGCAAAGCAGGCAATAAAGCTGACATCTTTGCCCGAAAGAGCTACTTACATTTACATGTCAACCCAAACATGCGAGTTTATAAATCAGAAAAATAAACGGGTGATTATACGATTATGATTTATAATGTTAATAAGAAACAAATGTACATGGTTTTGATTATATTGTTAGTATTATTCGTGTCACTGTCTTCAGAGGCCGAATTCTTCATGTTGCCTTCTTTTCTCTTCCAGTGAAGTTTTCCATTGCACGATAGCCACCAGTAGATTTTATCATGAACATTAATGCACTGACTGGCATCCACCTGGGGAAAAACGTATAAGTGTATTAAAAATTGACGTACTAAATATGAAGAAATTTGAAAGCACAAAATGATATCCTGTCTTTGTAGCAACATCGAACAAAATCTGTCAAAGCATGTTCAAGAAACTGTTGAAGATACGAAAATCAAAGCAGTTGAACATTTCGAATCGAATCACATTAAACTGAAGTACTTCGTTAACCCCGTGTATGCTAATACCGTGTTTCAGTGAAATTGGTCCATGCGTGTTTGAGAAACGGAAGACTACTTGTAGCTCATACTTACCCCTTAAAATAGGCATAATAATACATGATCTTCGGCATGCAAAGTTGCTTCTGGTTCACCTGCACAGCATGGACCACTTTGTCAGCCACATAGTCTGGCTCCAGAATGGGAATATCCCTAGTGGTTAGAGAACAGAAAAGTGTACGGAAAGTGTACGTATACATACATGTTTTATGACATTTTGTTTTCATAATTTTAAATCCATGCAATACTAAACCAAACTAAAGAAAACATACACATACAGACAGGGTAACCACTTCTATTAAACAAATGCGACAATAAATACGGCGACCATATATTCGAACCCCAGCATGGGGTGGTGAAAAGCATCATAAAAATGTAACGCTGATAAATAAGTTGTGGAAATGGGATGAATTAGGCAAAGCATCAATTTAAATCAAATCGTGTGACAAATTTACTCAATGCTGTACTGTATGTGACTTGCAATTGAAATTTGAGAAGACATGTATGCTACTGTTGAGTTTCAGGATGATAAAATGTTGACATTTTGAAAGACATGTGGCCGCAAAATTCATAAAAAATCATTTTTATCAAGGCTCGTCTGAGAAATGAGATTAGATGAACACCCAACCATCCGGAACCAAATAAATATTATTAGCGTGCATGTGTCACATTTTACGACATTTAACAAGTGGTTCTTGAAATATACACAGCACATATATCGGCCTACATGTAGGTCAATGCCCCCAAAGCACCAAAAACACACAACATAAAGTCAATGCTTATATTATTTATCAAGGAACAAGTTATTACCCAGTCTTGACACCATCAAACATCCCAGTCGCAATATAGAATGGCTGCACCAACGTTGTCTGTACACCATTAATTTCAAGGTCCGACAACTCGGCAGTCAGTGCTTCATGCACGCCAACTGCAGCAAACTTACTCGCACAATACTCAACCAAAAATGGCGAACCAAAAGTACCTGCCATGCTTGCTACAGTAACCAAATGACCATGGTTATTTGCCACCATTGATGGTAAGAAGGCTTTCAAGGTCTATGTATAAACAAAGAAAATAGAAGAATGTAACAAAATATAATCCTGTATGTAAGTCAGTTATAACGTGATATACTTATAAATTGATTATCACATGTAAGTACTCGTACAATAATTGCAATACTATGCAGAAATGCAATTACAAATTAATTAAAATGCAATTAGATATAGGAATGCAATTTCGCTACAATGTTATTACTAATTTAAATTGAAATTCCCATACAATTGAATTACAGTTCAATTGAATTGTATCTAGATAAAATAAATCGCAGCCTATAGTCATAGGGTAATTTCAGGACACTACATTTTCCACATGTCAAGTTCGGGTGACACTATAGATAGTAAGCATAACATGTTATAAATAGAACAATATAGTATGGTATACAAAACATCGTACCCTGCTTCTATTGGGAATTCATTATTTCGTGTTAACATTGTTTATCCAGCATGGCTTAGTTTAAAAAATAGAGGGTCTATGGTTTAACATGTTGAAGTTTAAATTAATCCTAGGTTCATCTTAGTCCATACAGCTCAACGAAATTTAATTGGGTCTACGATAAAACAGAGTCAAACCGCATATATCGTGTATACAGTATTAAACACTTACTCCTTCCTACACCTTAGCCGCGACTATATGAGCTAACGATACGATACATTCGTGGGGGCGTGCACATCAAATTTCAGACCTACATGTACATGCTCAGAAACACCATGTAAAGTAAGCAGGTTAATTTGAACCCTGCTAGGTTTTCAATGCCACTACACAGACAATACATGGCATTGACAGCCAATGTACTGTCAGCTATTGACCATACACATGTTGTTTGGTTGATACATGGAAGGTACTGACGGATTCCATGGTTGATATAACATGCTATAAATCCAAGCATTGTTAAACATCCAGGGACCTCAAATAAAAGTCACAATAGTCTTTCGGTGAAACAATTATATTGCTTCGTGAGGTGATTTCAATAGTCGCACCAAGGCCATACATCTCAGTTGGTGCAAATCGTGGCGGAGCGTTTCGTAAATAGAGTTGAGCATTATAGTGATGCAATAGTCAACCCCATATACGCTATCAATTAGATTCACAGTTACGTGCACTATGTGTATACATACCCAAAATATAGACATCGCATTCACGTTCATAGTTCTTTCAATTAACTCATCTGGACAATCGAGAAACCTCCTTCCCGCCACGACCCCGGCGTTATTAACGAGTATCGTGACATCACCAACGTCTTTCTTGACTTGTTTGGCGAGACGGTAGACTTCGTCTTTCTTAGTCACGTCGCATCGATAGCTGTGGGCTTGCCCACCTAAATCAGTGATCTGTTTTACTGTTTCGTCGGCTCCATCTTTGTTGATGTCCCATATGACCAATGTTGATCCCAGCTTGGCAAAGTTTATTGACATCAGCCGTCCGATGCCACTGCCAGCGCCTGTCACCAGCACGATCTCACCAGCAAGTGACTTTTTCTGAGCTGGAAGAAAGAACTTGATTATTGACCAGAATATGATGATACAGGCACCAAGCCAACCGTATAGTTGCTGAAATAATCCCATGCCGACGTCGAGTGGTTCTGGTAGTTGTCTAAAGCTAGCTATGTAAAGTACTAGTAATTTATGTCCCCGCTGGTGGCGCTCGGTTTTTAAAGCTGTGACTTTCACAGGAAATATAGTTGTTCGTCGTTATTCACTGTATGTCAGCAAACACAGTTCTTTGAAATGAATAATTGTAGGGGGAAAAACATCATACTAATATATAGTATAAACCATAACATTTTTCGCAAAGTAGCTTTTTGAATACATACAGAAGGGCCAATATAGTAAAGACATTCGGGCCAAGCTGGAAATGCCTTAAAACGACGACAGCGTTTGAAAATAAGGGACTCTTATTAGGACCGAGAACTGTCGACAGTCTAGTTTACCGTCAGAGGAGAGCGTTGTGTCGGACTGTTAGCAGCCTCGGTGCGAATAAAATCTGACACCTAGGGGTCCAAATAAGACATATAAGTATATGTGATGCAGTGGGCCAAAACAAAATTAATTAATGTAGAATTAACGTTTTCAGGCATAATGTATTTTTTGTCATCACGTGCGCAACGCAATCACCCATTTGATCGGTGACGTGGTTCACCTACTATTTGGAAACAAAGTTTATTTTTACTTTAAGGGCATATCAATCATGATCCGGGGCATGAACCGCTTTAAACTGTCTTTGCGCTTCAGTTGTAAGGATTGTCTTGAAGCGCTACAGTCGCCGTTCCGCGCCGTGTTCAATATGAAACTCGCAGCGACGTACGCAACGCGTGTGAAATGGTGTCCGTTGTTTGTTTACTTGGAATTTGAACACGCGTCGTGCTCAATGTTTAAAGCGGAACGGTCGTCACCTGCGCACGCGCGGGAATTGAGTCCCAAACGATGATAACAACACACGCTAAAATGCAAAGGCTCATGGGTAGACGCTTGTTTTTAAACAATGACACGCTATGACCATCTGACGCAAGCGCAGGTGACGACTCCTCCCGCTTTAAAGTGCCTGTGCAATGGCCACCCGCACGTTTCCCATTTTAGATCTGTGCCCCACTGAAATGGGCAGTTATTGATTTTTTGCAGAAAATGATTACTCGTATCTAAGTAAATTTGAGACATTTCTCGTATTGTAACCACGTCCACCTATTCTGAAACGGTCGACTGTTTTCGGATTTCCGACTCTCGCCGAAAGTGCGCCACCAAATGCCAAAATATGAGAGGAAGTCATACCCCTGAGCCGTAATAACACTGGCCATTCAATATACTTTTAAACGATATACATTTTTCGGTCGGCTTTTTTTCTTTTTTTTTCTATTTTATTTTTTTGAGAGAGTTTTTAGATGTTGTGTTGTGGGCAGTTGCAGTGATACGTATAGTCATAGTGTAATTATTCACACGTTTCTAATCGATCCGAAGGTGCGACATCAGTGGACGAACGCCGTGAAAGCAACGAGAAATGGTTGGGGTGGACCTTCTCCTTACAGCGTCGTATATAGTGTCCACTTAACTTCAGATTCTTTTTTTTTAAACTGTTCTCGTCCATGAAAAAACAACTAGGTTTAAAGAGAAACGCCGACAACCTGGCGCAATACTTTTGAAAGAAATAGATTCAGGACCAGCCCATGATCACCGAGGCGGATTTCAGTAGAGGGAGAGACGTCGGGCAAGTTTTTCAAATGATTTGACCTTTTGCGATCCTGATTATCGTTTTATAGAGACCATTTAGTCTGTTTTAAGTAAAAGGTAGCAATAATTTTGACAGTGACAAGAAAAACGAAGTGTCGGACAAACAGGAAATCACACAGCCCTTGCACACTGCTAATTGTTTTCATTTTCGCAGGCTGAAAGTTTCTGAATCGTTCGGTGAATGTCGATTTCACACCTCTGTTACCTTTGCTTGCTGCTTGATCTGCGTAATAATTTATGGAATAATAATCCGGGCTTTAGCTGTCAATGTGTTTCCTCCAAATAAAGTTTTAATATGATGTCATAATTATGACAATCACGCCATGGATCACGCTAACTCGAATCCACTCTGAATTTATCCAATTAAACGCCGTCTTTAACGCACTTGTCCTCGTCGTAACCCAACGCGCTCATCTATTTCAACAAAATGTCAATTTATTTCAACGCGGCTGTCATTTATTTAGTAACTGTGATTTGTCGTTTTTTTAGTAGTTTAATGTTTAGAATGTCAAAATATGTTCTCTTTTTATTTTAGTTTTGAAAGTTTTTTTTTTGTTTTACTCAGACGATCGATGAAATAAAACAGTGTAGTGACGTGCCTAGTAACCTGCTAAATAACGAGACAATTCATACGTCAAACTCGATTTTGTCCAGCGACAGTGTACAAATGTGCGCCGGTGACGATCCCTGGCGAGGATCACGGTGACCCGCTACACAAGAACGAACATATTTAGCATCTAACTCAACCCTATGCAACTTGATACTATGTGTTCATTATGGTCCTATCACGGGGAAATTCTCTTCTGGGGTTCTCCACACTTGTCAGGGGGGAAACTCGTCTCGTCTCTCTATCTTGTCCCCTTGAGGTACGGGATCGGGAAAGTCACTTTAACTTTACAGTCAAATAAGACACACACAACGAAATACGTTTCAACTCTCGTCTTAGTCGATCTTTTGGAGCACTCTATAAGACACAGCGCCCTGGGGAAAAGTCCCCAAGACTCTCACAAGGCTGAACCAAGACTCGCCCAAAACTGGACTGCCTCAAGGCTCGCCCCTGGACTGGACTCTCAACTCGACTCAACTCTCCACTGCGTCTATCGTGCTTGTGCTCCCCAAGACAACTCAAACTCTCTTTATTCATTTTCAAAACTCTAACCAATTACAAAACAGTAAAAGACTCTAGGGCGTAACCTTCAATCATAAAGCCAATCACACTAAGCACTGAATACGTCATATCTTTTGATTAATCGTTCACTACATTAATAACTATGGATATAAACTGTCAGAATGAGTAGTCTAAAAAGCGGCGGTTATCTGGTAATTAGTTCCAAATCACTGAGCCAAGTTCCGTCCAAAACTTCAATTAGGCCTAGACGATGACAGACATAACACAGCAATTCAGCTAATAATCAACTAATTAAGTCGGTCAAGAGATACGCGAAAACAAATTCATGACAGTCCATTCTTTCCCGACGAACAAGTACATAAGTGACAATTTAGTCAAAGATGAGAAAACTGCACAGGAAATTTGCCTTAGTTACACGTATCGGCAATGCAAGCTGCCCAGCGACTTCCCCTTCTGACGTCACAAGGGGAATTTCTGTATGCAAATGAGAAGCTAATGAGGAGCCTCGTTTTAAAATACACAAAAATAAAGTTGCCGTAGACCAGGGGGGGATTGGCACGAGAGGGCGCCATCCGATCTGAATATAACGTTTCGACGTCAGTCGTCCGTAGCCCACCGTCAAAGCAACAACGTCCCGTTTACGAACAGATGAAATAATTTAAGCAATTTCTTTACAGAATAATCCTCAACAAAACTTAGAAACATTTCATAGACAAAAATAGGCTCCAAAATTATGTCTATTGCAAAACAATTCAACCGACAACCAGTTTGACGCCACAATTTCTTGCTGGAGCCCGAGTTCTACGCGTGATTTTATTGCGTTCAAA